GGGGGGGGGGGGGGGCGCGATGCAGTCCCTCGTGCTCATGGACGACTACAGCAGATCAGCGGCGGCAACAGCAGGCCCGGCGAAAGGCGACCGTAGCCTTCTCCCGCTGGGATTGATAAGCAAACCGCCCGCCGCCGAGCACGGTACCCGCGGCAACAATAACGACAACGCCGCCGCCGGCCGCCCACAACGACCAACAGGCGAACCGCCATCGGACCCCCTCTACGTGAGGGCAGAGGGCTGCCCGTCGACGCTGCCGCCCCCACCTGCGGGGCCCCCGGTCATGGTCCTCTTCCCGGCTACGCTCCCCCTGTCGATATTCCTGACCCCGCCTCCGCCAGCAACGCTCGCCTCGGGCGTGCTCACCCTGCTGGCCATCCTGGGGTCGTGGGGGTGGGGGTGGGGGTTGGTGTCCGCGGCGGGGGTCGGGTCGGGATTGGCGGCCGGACTTGCAGCGGGTCTCGGCGTAAGGTCAAGGCCCGTGGGAGGCTGGGGCTTCACCGGTCTGGTGGGTGCGGGTTTTGGATTGTCTCACACCTTTGATGCTGTATGTTCCGGAGTGCAAGTCTTGCAGGATTTTTCTGGGGTCCATTTTTTTGTTCTCCTTTTAGGGTAGTTGACCTGTTACCACGGAAGGCGTCCGCGTCAGCGGGACCAGTACGGACGCTATGCATACGAGGAACCGGAATTTGAAGAATACAACAATACAAGTAAGCGAGATGTTCGGAGGGGAGGGTGGTAGACGTACCGCCGATTGGCTTGCAGAGGTAGCGTTGTACTACATTTGTCCTTCGCGCCAGCCACCTGGAAGACAGTTCGAGGGGGGCAGGATGTGGAGCTCGCATCGTAGTTTTAGTTTTGGTTTCCACCCGAACCGCCAATCTTATCACCGCGTATGGCCGATGTTGCGCCCCCTACATTCTCCAGTTCGTTGCAGCGTGTAACGGTATTGGAAAAGCCTCGGTGGTCGTGTGGTGACGTGTGGCTGGCCGTCGTAAGAACAGCAGGGGGGCGTGGGGACCGGAAAGTGCCAGGACGCACGTGGAGGGAGCTTTTCCGTTGCATGTGCAGAACGACTTTGCCAAGCACCGCTGTGTTCCTTGTGTGGCGACGACACAAAACAAATAATCGTAGACGTCGCCGAAACTGCCGGGTCACGGACCAGTGTTATCAATTTCTTTGGGGGAACAGAGTTTCCCGCGATAGAGGGTCCGATTCACCCCGCTGAGGCTTCAACGAGCTTCGAACGATCGCCCACCTTGTCAGCGCCGGGAAAAACTGCGCCTACTGTACCAACATTTTTCAACTGCACCCCAAGTAGGAAAAGATATGGGCGATGATTGACTTCTTCGGCACCCGTTTCGCTCTCTCGTCAAAAGAACAGGACGAGGAAATTGATCGCCCACTTCCCAGTTGTTCTTTTTTTATTGCGTCGCCGTTTTTCTTTCTGGCAGGGGGTTAATCAACAAACATGACCGAGTGTGAGGGCTTCCTTCTTGAACGCCAACTTCTGTTACCCCTGCCTTCTTGGCACAAGACATGTCACCCCTTCTCACTCAGACCCCCCCATCCCCACCCCTGTTTTCCCGCGTACGAAAACCCTTCCTTAATACCAAACCCAAACAGTCGGTGCTGGGGATCGCGCTGCTCGGGGGCGGGAAGGCGAGCCTCACGTTTGGGATGTCGCTGGGGCTGACTACGCTGTGGAGGCACGGGTGGTGGTTGTACGTTCAGCCGGAGTGCGCCCCGGTTTTCTTCCTGCTGTCGGGAACGACGGCTGATGTCGCCCTGGGGTTCCTGCTGACTTCGCTGCTCCAGGTGAGGGCTAAGAACGCCGGTTCGCGCGGAAACGTTAAGGCTGCCATTGGCAATCCCAACCAAATCATCTGTGGTCGGTCCTGTGGGAAGGAACGATGCACTGTCCTCTCGAGAACGCATGGTCTAACCGTTAAGACATGCGAAACATGGGTTCCCACCCACCCCCTGTGTTGCACCCCCCCGATGAGGCCATCGGTGATCGATCCTGTGGGAACAATGCTCTGTCCTCTCAAGGACTCATGGTCAAAGGTTTCACAACTAAGGCATGCGAAGCACGAGTACGCCACCCCCTCCCCCCCCCCCTCCCCCGAAGAGGCTACTTCGAGCCCCTTGTTTGTACCAACGCTTCGTTAGTTTAGCTAGTAGCTCGAGGTGGCATGCTGCTACGCGAACCAGCCAGCCTCTTTGCGAATGCGCGCGAGTTATTGTGCACGCGTCCAGTCACTCCGAAGCTTGGTCCTGTTTTTGAAACCATCAAGTGGCCGTACAACGCAGTTGCACCTTGTCTGTCTCTCGCAACTCTCCTGTGTGGTTTCGTGAAGCGTACCACGAGAGGTTTGTCGGGGGTGTACAGTTTGAGTTGACTGAACTGTTGGAAAAGGTGCGGTTTCGAGGCGTTCGCCCGTACGAGTTCTTGCGGCTTACGGCCGTTTGGTTGAGTTGGTTGGCGCGTGCACCCACCGTTCGATTGTCTGGAGGACGGCCAAAGCCGCAAGCTCCCGTCACCACCGGTACTTATCGCGTTTGTTGGCAGTTCGTGTCCACACCTCTTTTCGATCGTGGGTCTCGGACGGAGCACTTATTTCGTTCGCTGTGAATCGTTCCGACAAGAGTCGACCAATTTGTTCGGTTGTGTTTGAAGTTGAATCCCCCGGCCCTAGTCCATCCGTGCAGCCGCGGAGAGCCCTGCGCTTTACTCAATGCGACTAGGTCGAAACTTTGGTAAATCATTGTTGTTCGGCAAGGTTCGGCGGGAAGGAAAATCCCCTCGGTGCGCCAGTCCCGGGCACGCGGCCAAACGTGTCGTAACACTCGAAGTACTCCACCCTCCCCGTCCATCTCTCCGATTTGCCGACTCGTCAACAGATTCACCGCTCGCCATCTCCACCACCGCCCCCGCGGTCCGAATCTCAAGATCCGTCTAGGCCCCAGGCCTCCGTTGCAGAGGCGCATCACCACCACGCCTCGGGTTCGCAGGCGGACATGTGGAACGCCGTGACACCACCCGGCCTTGCCGGCTTGCGCGGCCGTAGAACTTAGCTCTTAGCTAGAACATGTGGATGTGTTTTTTTTGTGTTAAAAAAAAAAAAAACTTATCGGTTGTAGTGCATAGGATGTGCGACGCCGATTTAGCGGGGGGGGGTTTCACGAAGTACGGTGTCGTGCGAGTTAAAATGTCAGGAGAGAGAGAAAGAGAGAGACAGAGAGACAGAGAGAGACAGAGACGAGCGCACGTTTGACAGTT